CTTCGTACGACTCCTCCTGACCCACTGACTGTTGTAGGATCTCTTGTTATTCTAAATTCATTACACACACGCACACACAATAATGAGAGCTAGTGGTAGTGGTGCTCATAAAAATCCGCACCACCAACCACGCCCCAAACCACTTTAACCCTGCCCCTTCCCCCCCGTTTGGTGGCACATCAAATGGCAGAGTTTAAACCTCATCGCTGGTGCATAAATTCGTACCAGTTTAGTGCTCTTCCAGCGCCACTCCCGCGTCATCGGGATGCGTTGTGCCGTCCATTCGAGCATGTTTAATAAGCGTCGCCATTTTTCATGCGCAGTCAGCGGAGGAGCAGCTCGCATCCACCACGTTTGGCCCCATCTCCATCCCCATCCCCGTGATGCCGTGATGTAACATGCAGATGGATGGGGCAGCCATGAGAACTATGAGTGCCTCGTGAAGAGTTTGCTCTTGGCAAGCCAGTTGCAAAATATTTTAACTGCGCGAGGAGCGCACGAAAAATGGGCAAATCACAATCCAGTGAAATTGTGCAAAACGAATATCAAAGTTTCATAGAAAAAATAGAATGATACTCATGTTTAAAACCATATAATAATCTGAATAAAATTAAAGTACTATAAAAAGTGTATAATACTACTTATTATTAAGAACATGAAATAATCTGAATAAAACATTTAATCTTTTTTTGAATGGGTTCCACTTAAAATAACCCTTAAAGCAAAAATATTTTCCCTAAAGGTCTTGTTATAAAAACAAATATTCACCTTGGCATATCACACTCCAGAGAAATTGTGAAATGAAAATCCTTATAGAGAGTGTAATACTACTAATGTTTGAAAGCATGAACTTATCAGTTCATTGTAGTATTATAAAAAGGGCACAATATTATTTATGATTAAGAACATAAATTAATCTAAATAAAATATTTGACACATTTTTTGAATGGGTTTATTTTTTATGGGCCTAAAGCACAATTTTTTTTGGTCTTGATATAAAAACGGCTCAAATTACACATAAGATCTTTTTTTTTAAATTGTAATCAATGGAAATTGAAACCAAATTCACTTAATTTTTCCCTTGCTATGTTTTTTTCTTGTTTATCTTTAATAAATACCATATCGAGCTGCCATTTCTCCATATCAGCGATAAGAATTAATGGCAAAGCGACAAATACGAGACCGTCAACCGAAACCCCATAAAGATATGAATCTGCGGCGAAACTTTCCCCCGGGAGCAGCAACCCAAGCTCAATTTATATAGCATTTATCAACCATTTGCCTTGGGTGCGTGGGCCCCAGACTAAACGTGAATTATGATGATGCTGCATAAGAGTGACATACCGTTTCATAGTGCAATATCATTCTTTTTTCCTTTTTCTCCGAGGATTGTGCTGTTCTGGCCATTTTGTTGATGTCTGACTAGTATTTTCTTATTTTTCTTGTTTTTTTTACTATAGCAAAGAGCGGAAAATTTGTCAACCCAGTGAATCGTAAATGTTATATGGAGCGAGATGGGGACATCATCAGGGCGGAAGGAGAGACAAGAGCACTAAAGTAAACAAATGAAAATGCTGTTTGCATTGAAATTTCGTTCGTTTGGTTTTCAATTAGGCGAATGCGGCCACCGCTGCGTATGAGCAATGTTTGGCAATAATTTGCGGCTCAAACAAGAGTGGAAAAAAGATGGGAGAAAGACCACAAGGGCAAACAGAGTGGAAGCTCCACGGATGGCAGCAGTTTAGTTTAAAGTTGACAAATGGTCCTGGCCAGGACACGAAGACATGGCAGTACATCTGTAGCCATTAGACACGTAGCCGGAAGTTCCTGGGGGAAGGTTGAGCTGAGCTGAGCTGAGCCGGGGGCGTGGTCCTCACGTCCTGCCGGCGGACATGTTCCCACCATCCCATCCAGGTGTTCCACGAGGAGTGTGCGTGTAATAAATTTCACCTGCACACACAAGTTGAGCAACACGAGAAGCAAGCAAATCGAGAAAATGAAGCCAGCTTATTTAGTGCCTTCGTCTAGTGTTGCCGAAAGTTTATTTTATTTTCCCTTCTACTGCACTGAAGAAAAGTAAACATCTGAATGGAAGTATCATTTTCAAGAGTGTTTGGTTCTTGAAATTAAGCTTGTGTTTATCCTATTTGTGGCTCCTTGAATTTCACAAGTTAGTTAAGGCCTTATGACATTTGATTAACTTTTGACTAACTAAATGGAATAAAAGTAAACTGATGAAAAGGGAACTAATAGTAGCAGCACTTAGAATGTCATTTTCAAGAACGTTTTGCTCTTGAAATTATAGCTGTGGGTTGTGCTTATAGTATCTATGGCTCCTTGATTCTAGCATTATTTACGAATTATATAATATTTACAGCTCCTTGAATCTAACAATTGTTAACATTTTAGAGGTGTGATTTTAAAATAATTTTGAATCTAGGTCAATTTTATTGTGTAACGGTATTTGTAAGTAGAAACAAAGAACAATAAGTCTCACTTGATCAAGGAACCCTTTTTTTATTTATTTATTTTTTTTAATATTAATCAGTAACTTTTTCTGTCGGTGTATCTACTTCCCTTCAGTTTCTTTCTTAGCAGTTCTTACGTGTGAATGTTGCCTAATTTATTTATGCTTAAGAATGAATTATCCCCGACATTAGATACATGAAATTAGATTCACTGGCAGCCGAAAATTGTAATACACATTTGCCTTTGTAGCTTTCTGTTCTTTGCTGCACTTCCACAATCATTTACTTAATTATTTAAAATGCTTTATGCAATTTGTGCCAGGCCCTCCTTTTTCCTGTTCCTGTTGCCCCTCCAAGACAAATGCAATTTGTTTATGGCAAAAGTAAAGTAAAGGCAGCAGGACTCCCAGTCCCGGAGCCTGGGGATTTGGCTTTTGTGAGTGCGAAAGCAGGACGAAACCAGGACGAACGGGACGCCCAGGATACGCAGCGCATTTTGCTGAAATTACTTTGCAGCGGCGGAAAAATGAAAGGAAATGCTGAGCCAGATGAGTCACCTTGCTGCATTAACCCCTTGCTGACGACTTCCTTCCATATTTCCCCTCCTCGAGCAAATTGCTATGCAAATTGAGGGAATAAATGAGGCTGATGCAGATGCAGATGCAGATGATGATGTGGATTAGCTTTGCAAATGCAGCTTAATATTTTCTTTTAGCTGATGCAGAAAAACATCGTTAACTGCAGGCCGTGGAAAATGGCCAAAGATTTTAAAGGCAATTTCTTTATACAATTTAAGCTTAACTAAGACTTTAATTTCCTCGGGTCATTATAATTAAGAACAGCTTTCAGGCTCTGATAACATAAACGTTTGTTAATATGGCAGATTTATCTAATTTATACCCTATCATTGAATTTTATGTAATTAGGCTTTAAATACATTTACAACTAAATCCCCTGAGCTTTTGTTTTCAAATCAGAAATAGTTTTGCCTGTAATAAAAATAGCATAAATTTAATTCCATCCTTTTACTAAAGTCCCACAGTATTTAAAGTGATTACAAAACGGAATTTACTAAGCCGAATTTAAGCTGCGGGCAAATGTTACAACTTTCATTGCCCAAAAACATTCTGAATTTAAACAACAATTTAAGCAGAAAATATCGCAACATGTGCAAACTTAATCTATAAACGTAAAGTTATCAAATATCATAAAATACATTTGGCTTTTCTGTTTATTTATGCCCAGCATTCAGCTTTGGGTTAAGCTGCCAGCCAGCAACTTGCTCCTAACACTTGCGAAATATTGCGTCTGCCTGTGCGTCATTTTTCAATTTTCCCCATTGGTGCACCTGGAGGAAAAGGAAAAGCACAGGAAAACCCGGCGGAAAATGGGGAGGGTGAAGATCCTAATAAGAAAGCCAACATATGTGGGTGCCCAATCGATAAGGAGGGAAGCGGGGAAAAACCACAAGGAAATCTTTCTGCGGCTTAGAGGTATTTTGCCATCTTATTTTTTATGTCTGTTGCGGCCAAATAAAATCACAATTTTATCTTAAGCCGCAAAGTCGAATGGAAATTATTATCACATAAATATCCTACTACTGGCAAAGCTAGAAATATTGGAATGTCCTTCCAAAAAAGTGTATCTCCCTGCCAATTTTTTGGTAATTGGTATCTGTTAAAATTCTGATGTTGTGTTCTACAACTTGTATTTGGTTGTTTTTTTCTCTTAAACAAAGTTTTTGTCTAAAAACTTTACGCAAATAGCATTTTCAACACCTAACCTTTTGTGTTTTCCATGTTTTTGAACAACTTTTGCTGAACCAAAAAGTGAACATGACAGCTTTAATAATTTTTTTGGCAACAGTGTTCTTCTTTTGTTCACCAACTTGTCATTGGTCTGTTTCTGATGTTTGCCTGAGCGCTTTTTTAAGTTTTGTGGTTTAAGTGAGAGACAAATGCGTTCTTTGGCAATACCATTCAAGTTTTAACAGATGTCTTATTATGCTTGGAACTAAATTTCAAGGTTCTCACACAAAAGAATCTTAAGATTCTAGTAATGAATGAACATCAGTTATACAAATTTAGAAAATAATTTAAACAAATGTTATTTCTCAGAAAGTTTCTAGACTTGTTATGATTGTTGGCCAAATAATCTGAAGAAAGTTAACAGAAGTCTTATTGGAACTCACTTTCAAGGTTCAATCTAAGTACACAAACGGCTTTAAAAGATTCTAGCGATTATTGACGTCAGTTATACATATTGACAATATTATACTTAAAATCGATATTATTTCCTATATTTTTTATGATTGTTGGCCAAATAAAAAGTCAAAGTTTCAACATATCTCTTATCATGCTTGAAACTCAAATCTCAAACTATGTATAGTACACAAAAGGCTTTTGAATATTATATAGTAATTTACAATACTTTCAAGAAGATAAATCCCATTATCTCACTGCGTTTCCAAGTATTGCCTAGAGTTTCTTCAAACTTTCTAAATGTTTTTAAAATTTTAGAAACTAGACTCACCTCGATGCAGAACTGGCAACCGCACTGCAGGAGCGCCATGGCCTCGCCCACATCCTCTACGTCGATGAGGCACAGCTTGCAGGTGAAGGGCTGGAAGGGCGTGGTCGAGGGCGTGGCCGGAGTGCCCAGCGAGGGCGTGACATCAGCGGAGGCCAGCATCTCGCGTCGCTTCAGTGCAATCCCATCTCGAACGCAGCACGCCTGTGCCGCCTGATTCGCACTGGCCATGGAGAGCAAGGAGCTCACGGTCAGCGGATAGGCATGATTGGTGCCAAAGGGTCCCAATTCCCCAGCACCGGGTGCCTCAGTGGGCGTGGTCGCGGGCGTCGACGTGGGCAGCAGCTCCTGATTCAGATTATTCCCGCAGCTGGAGTGCAACGTGGCCGTGGTCACATTGGACGGCGGACTGGGACTGGTCGAGTTGGCAGTTGCTCCACCGCTAAGTCGGATCTGGGCATTGACATTGATGTGCGGCTCCTGCGCGCGACGCTGCTCCTCTTCCCCTCCGGCTCCAGCTTCCAGCGGATTGAAGGCCGAATCCGGCCGTGGAACAAAGCCATTGGACAGGGAGTAACGTGATCCGGAGGCAGCCAGGGATAACAGGCTGGAGCAGCGTGAGCAAGTGCCCACACCATTCATGCTGTTCATACTGTTTCGCAGTCGGTTGAGTGGCCGGATTTGCTCCACTCCTCCAGAGCTGAAGATCCCGCTGCCATGGACAGCCAACGAGTGTCCTTGACTCCGACTCTGGCTCAGGCCGTGCACATGATTATGCGATTGGGATTGCCGGGTGAGGGCCAGGACTGTTTCGCACTTTCGCAATCCCGTGTACTGGACAATCGACTGTGACTTCTCCTGGCGCAGACTGCTAGCGCTGCCCTCGCGTCGCATGATGTGCCAGATCTTCTGCTGGACCACATTCAAGGAGCTGCTCGAACCGCTGATGCTCAGGCTGCCACGCCCCTGGCCGTTGGCTAACTGACGGCCAGAGGGATTCCGGAGCACCACATCCTGCTCGGAGGGTGTGCGGGTGATCCGAATTTCCGGCGAGGCAGGACGTTCTCGCTCTGGAACTGCTCCTCCTCCTCCGCCACCGCCTCCACCTCCAGAGACACTTCCTCCTCCGCGACTGCTGCTCGCCTTGAGTCCCACCAGCGATTTGAGAAAGTTCTCGAAGCGACGCCGTCGAGGCAGCTGCCCACCGCCGGACAGTCCCAGTGAGCTCTCCAGATCTCCACCACCTCCTCCATTGGCAACCAGCGCTCCTCCGTTTCCAGATCCTCCTCCGCTGCCACCTCCTGCCCCTGCTCCGCCACCATCGCCATTCGCCGAGGAAATGATGATCTTGCCGCGCGCCTGCGTGTCCAGGAGCGCAACCGTCTCGGCGTCGGCGGAATCGTGGGCGTGGTCGTGGCGGGGCGTGGCATGCAGGACGGTGGAGGCCTTTTGGCTGGCGGAGCGCTGGTGCTGCTTTGTGTTGGCCAGATTGTGGATTGGCGAGGAGTCCTGGGGGGAGAGAGAACATAAGGGATTAGTAAGTGGTTTGAAATCTTTTATATAAGTTCTTAAAATGTAGACTTTGTCTTTGTATTTAATTTTAATATTACAAAAAAATACTAGGAATTTAAATCTATTTAGGTTATTTACTATATAAGCTAGACTCTCAGTAAAATTATAATACACTTGCTCTTTCCTAAGTTATTATTCATGATTCTACTATTTTTCTGTTTAAATATGAAACAATATTTAGGTATGTATGTAGACAACTTTAGATGACTGAATCTTTATGGCTTTTATAGAAAGAAAGTAACTGGGCTTAGCTCCATTACCTATTTAAATTATTTATAAATCAGGGTCACTATAAGATTCACTTATTTCTTTCCTAAATGAGCTTTTATGATTATCTTTTATGTATACAAAATATTTGTTTTACATGCTGTCTGCATAAAAGACGATTGTCAAAAGCCTGCTAACTAAATTAAGTAAAATACATAAACCAAAAGGACACCCACCCGCGAGTCCTGCTCCAGCTCCTCCTCGAGAGCACTGTAGACGGGCGCGTACCAGGAGTAGGAGAGCTGCTTGCGGGCGGACGGAGCCGCAGCTCCCGCTCCACCAGGAACAACGACGTTCGCCGTGGGTGTTGCCGTGTGGCCTGCTCCGTGGTGCTGATGCTGCTGCTTGAGCGGCACAAGCTTGGCTGCTCCACCGGCTACACCTGCTCCTGCTCCTACTCCTCCGCCTCCGCCTCCTGCTGATGGAGCTGTGGTCACCAGATTGTTGTTATAGCTGAGCGGCAGACTGCGCCTCTGGTGCTGACCTCTGGTGGGTGGCAGGTGCTTGGTGGGCTTCCTGCCAACGCCGTACAAACTGCTGTGGTGCTGACGCCTCGACTGCTGCTGGTGAGGATTGTGCTGGTGATGATGATGATGATGTTGATGTTGGTTTCCCTGGGTCAGTTCCTTCTTGGTAAATATCAGCGAGGCACTATTCTTATTCAGCCTTATGGAGCGCTGTTTGTCCACCACCGTGGCCTCGATGTGGGTGAGCAATGGAACCGTCTCTGACAGAGGCAGTAAATGCTGCGAGGATGCCGATTCCGAGGGGAAGTTGATCACAAAGTTCTCGGCGGCGTCATCAAAGATACTAGCCCTGGCAGCACTAACGCAATCCTCACTGGAAGAGGGACTGCTCAGGGAGCTCCTCTTGGAACGATTTTGATTGTGGCTCTGGTTGTGGATGTGGATCTGGTTGTGGTTCTGGTTGTGGTTCTGATTCTTGAGATCCCTTGCGTGCTGCTGGTAGCTGCTGTAGCTGATCTTGTTCTCCACCAGCAGTTCCAGCGGTGGCAGTTTGGCGTGATGGCTGTGTGGACTCCGGTCCTGGTGAATATCCTGCGGATCGGAGGGCGTGGCATGCGCGTGCACCTGCTGCACCGGATGCACTTCAATCGGCTGCAATCCCGTCGACGCTGGCATCGATGGCATCGCCATTGGTGGCCGCATTCTGGACCAGATTGCACTCGATCTGCGGGCTTGTGTTGAAGGATGTGCTCAGCCTAACCGTGGCTGGCGACGGCAGAGTCTCGTTGAAGAAGGCCTGTCGGATGAAGAAACAAAACAGCAATTAGAATTGGTTACGCGGCAATCGATGGTTTGCTTCAAGTTTTATTTATTTAAATTGAAATGTATTTTTATCTCAAAATAGTAAGAGAACACAGTAAGTTATTTTTTGAGCAGTTCTGTGATCGAATCTGACTTTAAGCACAGCTAGCTTAGGGCAAAGTAGATTGGATACACCAATTTAAATTTTAAACCTTTTCTTCTGACCTACTAAGATATAGGTCATAGTATCGATTTACCGAAAACCATGAGTTAAGAAGAGCTAAAAATATACAGGATTTTCTTTTTATTTTAATCATTTTAGGATGACGATGATATGTACTCGCAAATTATATATAAAATCCATGTGCTAATAACCTATTTCTAGTGGCACTTGCTTCGTTACAAATTTGTTTCCTAAAATCATAACTAATTTTACCCTTAATCTTATTATGGTTCTATTTAACAAATTTGTAACCAGCGAAAAATCCAACGTTTAATGATAAGCTAAAATGATAAGTCTATGATAAATTCAATTTAACTATTAAGCTTAACAGCTTTACGGAACTTTCATTTATATTTAATTTTTATCATATTTCAGTGTAATTTAGCAAAAGTAAGGATTATATTTTAGAAATGTAAACTCTAAATTCCTTTCAAAAAAATGTAAACAATTAATATATTTAAGAACCCTTATATTGAAATGTATCTGAAGTCTAATTTGTGTACTGAAAGATCCTAGTTTGGAATAAACTTGATACGGATGAACCTTGAGTTTAAGTTGTATTTTTATATAACCCATATCCCCTTTTACCCTTGTAAAAACGGCAGCTACCTCTACGAATTTCATCCGATTGCTGGCAGCTGCATCCGAATTTGCATTTACGGCTTTATTGGATTTATGGCAATTGGCCGAAGGGGAATCGGGGGCTCTGCATTCTGATTAGAATTTGGTATTGTGCAGGGCTTTCCCTCTGGAATTTAATTTGCCCAAATAAAGTTTTCCTTTGTGCCAGCTGGCTAAGGGCTAGAACGACCGAAGGAATTCAGGTAATCGATGGATCACAATTAAAGTGATGCCTAAATCTAGAGATTCGCTTGGCCATGAACGATTATTATTGGATTATGAGAGCATAACCACATTAAGTGGCTTTCAATGTTGCTCACGTTCAATGGGGCGTCCAATTTGATTGAGAATTCGCATCCATCATAGCGAGAATTTCTCCTGGGGCCTTTCGCCATTTGCCACGAACAACTACCGCCGCCACTAATCCCTTAAAATTTCATCAATACATGGCCAATTTAATGGCAAATAATCGGCCGAAACTATACAACTGGAATTTGCATTGCGATGCCAATGCAGCGACAAGGAAACCAATTTCAATTTGCCAACTCCTCGCTGGGCAAATAGAATAAAAGAGCAGAGAGGGAAAAAGTCTCTGGAGGATCTACCGTCCCATTTGCATCCAGTCAATTAAGTTATTTCCCGCTTTGAGCCCGGTCAGGTGCCAGTGCCAGTGTGCCCGAAAATATTCCCCAATGCCTGCAAATTGATAAATAATAATGGAAAAAATATGTTTTTTGATAATTTAGATAAATGAAAATACACGAAAACCGTGTGTGCTTATTTGCTTTGAAAATGGAGGATGCATTTTAAATTGGATAAACTTTTTAATTGAGCCAAAATAATTTTAAAACTGAGTTCGAATTATAAGATATAAAAACCAATTGCCAGGATAATAACTGATAGATTTAAAATTTTAGTTTTTAATGAGGAGCCTGTTTTAGTTTTTTTTTCTTGCTGTCGGTCACACTGTTTCTCTGCGTACATCAGCCCCCACCTTGGCCACACTGTTTCGCTGAACTCGGTGGTAACCTGCAGGAATTTTCCATTAATTTCAACTTAATTACGGCAGCAGCAGAAACAGAAGCCGCAGCTGACTCAAGCTGCACATGCCACTCCACCATTCGAGGTATGTGGCTATATTAATTTTTAACATGCCTTCGCCTAGCCACCGCCCCTTTGGCCCCTTCTGGCCCACATCTTCCCGCATCAGCACAACGCACCGAAGTATGCAACGAAAAAATGCGAATTACGCATAATTGCGGAGCTCAACTCAGAAACTGAGAAAGCCACACGGAGAAAAATTATATATCAAATTTATTTTTAATTTGTTACTATAATCGGGTTTAAAACTTAAAAAATAATTTAGAAATTTACTAACATCATATAATAATAAATATATATAATAATAGTATCAACATATGTATACAATAAATATATTGAAATAAAGTTAAACAAGTTTATAGTGTCCAAACCATTTAATAACCACCATTTTTATAGAGGCTAATTTTTTGTGAAAGATTAAATTTTAATCAAATAGCTGAAATATTTTTAAATTTTTTCATTGTTTTTAACATACAAGTAAATACTACAAATTCAAGACGTGACATATTAATCACATTAAAATTATCATCACAAAAATGAATAAAATAAAATAAAATAAATATAAATAAGTAGTATGTGGTCCTAAAACTATATGACCATCTTATTTATTTTTATAATTCCACAAAATTTTAGTTGGGCTTCATTATGGTTAGACTCATTCATTACCACGAAAATGAACAAATTAAGTAAATATAATTAAGTAGTATGTGGTACTAAGCTCATATGATTTTTCTCTGAGGGACTTTCTTTTTCCGTGCCAGAAAAGCAGAGCGAAAAGAGAAGCCACAAGCCGCAGCGCAGGGAAAAAAGTGAAAGATAAATTGCTTGCCCACGCCCACATAAGCGTTGCTACAAGGACAGGTCAAAGGGCAAGGGGGCTTTGGGTGGGTGGTGGTTGCAAGGTAAAGAGAGGGTGGTGCAAAGGGGGTGGACATCTACAAGACACATTTGCCACCCGGCTGACACTGACTGCCTGAATTCTCTCCTCCGGCGAAATTAATCGCCTTTGGCGCACTTTGTGAATTCCCCAAATTTGTCTTTTGTACATTTACATTTAACGCCATTTAAGCAGAGGAGCCGGGAATCCCGAACGAAGATTGATGAAAGCCTCAAATGCAAAACAGACAATTGTTTTCCATACCCAATCTGCACTTCATTCAGCCCACATCCGCTGCTAATTATATCCCCGAGATACTGTCAAATCACCCAATCATGACATGCAACGAAACTTCATCTCCAGCCAGCAAAAATCAGGCAATCAAGTCGCAAATCCCGAACAACAAATGGGGCTTTGTTTTATTTTCATCATCATCGCCATCATCATCGCCATCAGCTGGCCAACTAATTGACATACGTCAATTGGCCAAAACGGAATTAATGAAGAGCCCCCACCGAATGAGCGGCAAAAACACTGAATTATTTCAGTCAATTACCGCTGGCGATCAATAAATAAATAATAGCGAAACTTACCATAATTCAAATGGCCAGCAAATGCACTACAAAGCCAGAATTCCTCGATGAGCCTGCAAAAAAGGGGAATTATTTAAATTAGTTTTTATTAAAAATACTTAAATATTTATGTGTTATTTGCATAAGGATTTTATTAAAGTTTAAACAGTTTTTATAAAATAAATAGCTTGATATATATGCAGACTTTGGGTTAACAACGTTAATTAGCCATGACATGACATTCACATCAGAATGGAAATTATATAGAGACTATTTTTATCAGAACTTTTTAGTATTTACCTAGTTGTGAGTATTTATAAAATTATATAGCACTATATAGGTAAGGCTTTACCTGGAACTATTTAGTTGTGAATATTTCTATAAATATTTAAGGCCTTATATTATAAAAAAGAGAAAAAGAGAGTGGTATGACTTTATTATAGATAACTAATTAATATTCTGAGAACGATATGACTTGGTATATGAACCTATGAACCCCTAAAGTTATCCAACGATAGAACAAACTTTGGGAAGCCCTTTTCTTCGCTTTTTTTCACTAACCAAAATTGCAAATTAGTCCGCTTCAAAGCCCCAATTAATTGTTGTTAGACCGGGTACCTAATTTAAGTTAACAACCTTTTGGCCATCATTGGTGGTTGGCTAAAAGGGAATTTTAATTGGCTGTCTCTCGTGCGCGTGTGTGTGTAACCGGCTAATTAGACTCGCGACCCTCCAACAAAACCCGAGGCATAAGTCCACTTAGTTCGGGGTTAAACCTGGCCAAGTGGTCACACATGCAAGTGCACATATATAATATATATATATATGCTTATGAATTATATGAAGACACACAGGTTGCCCTGAAAATTGTGCTATGCTTTGTTGTTTGCTGTAGAGTCCACACCCACACACTTAGAGGGAAATTCAGTTAATTGTAATTGCAGTCTGGTCATGACATAACTACCAGTTGGCTGACAGGTTTGCCATCGATTACCGCCAAGGAAGCCAAGAAAAGTCAGGGACACAAGTTGTCGATTCATTTATCAAGTTTCAACGATGATACGTTCTTGGCCGATGACAGTAGAAAGTTGTGTAATCACAGCTAAAAGTAAAAAAAAAAAGAAAAAATAACACGCATTTGCTGACGTCAAAAGGCAAGCACAAACAGCTTGAGAAAGATTTATCAAGTGCTGACGACCAACGGAGCGTATGTGTGATATTTGTCATATATATAAGAAGTGAGGGGGGTTATAGCACTAGTAACACCCCGTTCCCCATCTAATTAGCTTCGTTTAACGGATTTTCTCGAAACGAGAAAAGAGGTACAATATCTCATGTCCAGTGGGATGGAGGCAGCTGCAGCCAACGGATTAACACACAGCCACACCGCATAAGCAGCTTAAGAGTCCTGCTCCTGCTCTGTATTCAAGGATTTTCCTCCTGGCTTCCTGGAAGCCAAGCCGAAGGACACACACAAGTGACAAATTAATCAGTTTGTGCATCTCAATTAAGTCGCTGGCAAGTCAAGCTTTAAGCCCGGCCTGCAGCCATTTCAGGCTTCCAAATCCAATTTAAGACTTTAACAATACGGAATGACTTCGTGGTCGGTTGGCTGTTCAACAAAGGCCTTATAGTGCGACACTTAAGCTTAATCTAACATCAAAATGGAAATTTCATTAGGCGCTTGACTTGTTCATAAAGGTCACAAAGGGTTTACTCTAAATAACAGTTTAGTGGCAAAATCATTGAAGCCTTTCTTTCAATTGGATTAAATATGTATGGGATAATTAAGCACCGGATTTTGAGGTAAAAATGTATTATAAGTACAATATATTTTCAAACAATTATAAATGAAACTAAATGGTGCCTTAAACAGACTATTCTATACACAAGCACTATGTTAAAACCCACTGAATATGATATATTATACAAAACATGGAAGATAAAAAAAAGTTCCTAAATATTCCCAAGATTTATCAATGTTTCGTCATTAAATGCATATTTATAAACTTTATAAAATAATGTTTGGTTTACAATTTATTTTTAATAAAATCACTTTATACTTGAACCCACTCAAAATAATGTTTTAAATAAAAATCAGAACATAGAAGATACTAAGAGGTTTCTATATATTCTCTGAGTTATTAATGTTACACAGTTTTCACTTTTTATATGCACTTTAATTTGCTTTAAAAAAGTTCCAATCACTTTATTTTTGAACCCATTCAAAATAATAAACAGAAAATCAGAAGATATACGATTCTAAGAAGTGTCTCTACATTCCCTAAATATATTAATGTTACACTTTATTTTTGAACCCCCTCAAAGTTATGTATAAAAGGAAAATCAGAAGATACTAAGAAGTTTCTCTACAAAGTTTTCCTTAATATATATCAATGTTATACAGATGTCCCCCATTATAAACACAATCAAGAAAATGAGAAGATACGAGTATAAGATACTAAGAAGTTTCACTATATTCCCTAAATACATCAATGTTACACTTTATTTTTGAACCCACTCAAAAAGATGTATAAAATGAAAATCAGAAGATACTAAGAACTCTCTGAGTATTCCCTAAATATATCAATGTTGCACAGCTGTCCCCCATTAGATGCACTTTTATTTGCTTTACAAAATCAAATTTAATTCACCCCACTAGCTGCTTGCCGAGAGTTGCTTTTAAGAGCAGCAAAAACCCTGGCAACTCTTGGCAAAAGCCCAGCCAGGAGTCAAAGTTAAGGGCCAGTGCATCAATAATCAATGTCGGGGCAATAGAATCGCAATCAAGTACGTGACATAAGGCAGTCAGTCTCACCTGGCACCTGAAAAGAATTGCAGCGGGTCGAGTTGCAATTTGAGCGGCACTACCCCGCTGGAATTGAGCCTCGAAAATGAGATTTTACATGGTACATTCAGGAGATACCACGCGAATCCTCAAAAGCCACGCCCAGTTTTGTGGGGGGGGGGATGTGGGCGGTTGAATGAGAGGCACTCGAAAGTCTAGACAAGACAGAGGCGGAGATGGTGTTATATTAAATAAACAACATAAAAGACAAGTGTGTGGGAGGAGGAGATCTGTAGAGTGCAGCAAGTGCATCAAGTATACGCCCCGTTTTCCCCACAAAAACAAAACTTTTGAAGTTAACACCCAAGCTGCCGCTAATGACGGGCTTTAAGGCCAAGTTTCGTAGAAATTGCACAAATTAAAGGCTCACGCAAGGCCTATTAAGGCTCTGGCAATCAGCATTCGTTTCACAAAATCTCAATTCCGATTATTTTGCCTTAGCTAGGGGGGGTCTTCTCTCGAGGAACTTGCTCTATTGCAGCTGACGCCATTTTCATGTCGCTGGGAAAAGCCACAAACAACACAAAAGCAACATCTTGCAACCGCACTTCCTTGCAACAGCTGCTCCCCCCTCCCCTTTTCAGATGCCCCATCATTCCACCCACTCACTTCCTTTCATGTGGATCCATTAAAGTGCCAATAGCACAAGTTCTGGAGACTCGATGAAAGAACTGCCATGCGGTGGCTGTGGAAACTCTGAAAATTATGCTTCCTGACAGCCTGAATAGAAAGCAGATTTTATTTGCTTATTTTTAAATAACTCAATATTCTTGCAAGGCGTTGAGAAATATGCAATTTTCCCATTAAACCGAAAATCGTAAACTGAGTGGAAGGCAAATAATATTTGCTTATATGAAAGGATTTAATGGTTGTGGAAATTATTGAAGTTGTTGGGAAAGATACAAAACATTTTTTTTAAAAGGGAATAGCAACCTACATTAAAGATTTGTAAGAAATATAAAGTATTTGTATATTTCTTATCCTAAAGGAAGCAAAAATTTGTTTTCCCTATTTCAAAACCCTTTAAAATGTTCTTAACATTTGTGATATGATATTATATCAATATAAGACGAACTCGTCATTATGATATGATATGAAAGTATATGATATGATGATAATATAATTTCGTTTTCCCTATTTCAATAACCTTTAAAATGTTAAGATTTTTTATATGATATAATATCATATCATTGTGATATGATGACGAGTTCGTCCTTAAGATATGATACAATTTCACGATATTTATTAAAAATAAAGTCTGGTACATTAGTCTTGGTGGAAACGAGCGCTGAAAACTTGAGAAATGATAATAATTGAAAATAATAGGAACTTTAATATTAATAAAATGCTTGCTGCGACGAAGCACTTATCTGTGTAGAAAGATATCAACTTTTCATCGTGACGAGCTGAAAGCAGACATATCTGCCATCTTTTATGAAATTCCACAAAGCAGAAAGCAAAAAAGCAAAAATCAAAAAGCGGAAACTGTCAGGGGGCGATATGAAAATTCTAAAAAGTATGCTTCCCGACAAGTTGAGCACCAATGAAATGTAAGCAGAATGTTAATAATTTAGCAACTCAACATGGCTTAAACAATTGCAGACTTTTCCGATATGTGTTTTTAAAGCTGCCAGCATGACGGAAGAAAACCAGGCAGATAACAGGGAAATGCACAAAGGCAGAAGAGTTGAACAGTTGAAAAGCTGAAGAAAAAGCATTTCGATGTCGTTGTCATAGTCGAGCGCGCATGATTTCCGTGCTTAACATTTCCTGTTCGAAACTGCCATAAAATGGCAGAATGGCAAAATGGTAAAATGACAAAAAGGGGGTCGAGTTGGGAGTTGAGAGTTGAGAGTTGGGAAGGAAGTGCGGATCCTGGCTCCTCCGGCAGCCAAGGAATATGTAATGCAAAGGAGCAGACAGATGAAACAACAGCAGCTGAATGATAGACACAAGCGGAAGCGAAACTATTCTAACAAAAACAAACTTTTGCCAGAGGAAAATGAACGAGAAAAGTTGCCACTGGCAACTTAAAGAGCTCCTTTTTCCAACTTTTTGAATCAAGTAGCATTGAGTCATTTTTAAGTGTAGGGCCAAAGTTAAAGCCACAAAGATTTAAACTTTCTCAGCAAAAAAAAGGAAATATTCAAATAGCAATTACAATTGTGAAATTTTCAAATAAAATATTTACAAGAAATATGGCTAAGAAGATTATACAATTTATTT